TTTATGGCTGCTTTTTTTAGAAATCAAGTGCCTTTTATCATTTATTTACTTTGATTTCATGGAAATGTCCAATGCCCTTCATTAAAGTATCAACATCACTCATGATGATACACTGTGAGTTAGCAGAAATTAAAGAAATATTTCAAAGTATGTGCTTTAATTTTTCCACTCCAGTATGAATCAAATAGGATGAAAAGGGTTTGTTTGATTTGTGTAAACTGACACACCTGAATGGGAACACGCAGCCTTGTCTCTCAAAGACGTGCGTGTGCGTCTTCTTGTGTGCTTTGGCTTTTGTGTGCAGATGTATCCATTAGGTTTTTTGGATTTGTTGTTACATCTGTGGTTTGATGTTGGGCTATCGGGCAGAAGAATGGTAGAACCATCAGCGATTGTTAAGACTTTGAATGCCAGATCCATTAAAGCAGACGTGGGAACATCAGTTCAGTTTAGCCAAACAATCCCAACAATAACTGCCTTAATGCGTTTCATATTGAAGGAAAAGAAATGATAATAATATAGATATAACCCCAACAATAACTTGGCCCCTTTGAAAAAGCACTTTGGCAACAGTAAGAAGGAAAAACTGCCTTTTAACAGGAAGAGACCTCCAGCAGAACCAGGCTCAGGGAGGTGCAGCCATCTGCTGCGAACACTTGTGGGCGAGGGGAGGAAGAAAGGATAAAAGACACACTGATTTTGTCTCATCTGTATGTTGCGCAGATGGTAAAAACAACAGGAGGACCAGCTTTTGGAGCCGCCATATCCAGTCCTGCCCTGACCAGCTCTGCTGTGTCCCTTCTACAAGATACCCTGACTGAGGAGGAGAGGCAGCTCTGGACGTCGCTGGGACCCAACTGGACACACCCTCGGTCGGTATCAATGCTTGTCTGTCTCTTACTAGTTGTGAAACTGGTGTTTTATTTCCCAGCACATTAAAAACTTCCAGTCTTGGTGTTGTATCAAGCTCAACTCTGGCCAGAGGCTGTGGAAAGGGAGCATTTTGCCTCTGTTGATAGTTATGTGTCACCTTTTTACATTTTTGGGTTCACTGAAGATTTTATCTGCTGAAGAGCAACATCTTTGTTTCAACCAAGCAATATTTTTGTACTTCGTTTCCCTTGAAATCATTTGTTTTACCTGCGTTTTGAAATAAGCAGATTTTTTGAGACAGGAGATTAAAAGGGACGTTTTTATGCTCATATCCAGTTCCATATTTTTATTCTTGGACTGAAAGACTAAAAAGAAATCCTTATCTGTCTTCTTCGGTCTTTTGTCACAGCACTTCAGTTTCAGCTCATGGGGTGAGGGTCCCCTTACTTTAAGACAAAACACTTTCCTCTGATTGGCAGACAGCTGAAGCCTGAGCTTTGAGCCCTCAGGGATTCTTTGAAAGTTTGGCCATGTTTAACAGGAGCCTCCATCAGGCTCCATTGTGACAGTATTTATATAATAAGAAGCATAACAAATCCACTTAAGGCATTTTGGGATTTATTGATTTCTCATGTTAAGAAAAGGGAACCGATGGATTAGCTGTCAAATGTACATAAGACCTATTATATTTAATCTTGTAAGCAAGCTTTAAGAGGAAAATCCAATGTCATAACTTCCCTCAATGAAAACTGCTTGAATAGCAATCATAGTTTTGGTTGTTGAGCTCATTGAAGGCCAAGGCAGTGACTTGTTCTGCTCTCTCAGGTCTCAGCTGCGTGGGCCTGTAGCTCCATACACCCCAGTGTTCTTTGATGGCTGGAAGCCAGAAGCCTTGAAGCCTGACGGGCAGGTTTGGGAGGATCCGGTCGAGTCACAGCACAAACTCGAAGCCCTTCGAGAAAAACAAGAGGTGTGGGATACTTCTATAACGTGATTTCGAAGTCATTAATCGTAGATCAGTGGAAACAAGAACTATGGATGAGTGTGTAAAAGGACAACACAGGGGCTTAAGATACTAACGCATGAATAAACCTCACGTACAGTAAACAGTGGAGATACACTTTCCGCTTTTTGACAGGTCAGCTCACATTTCTGTCCATCCGTGCTAAAAATTGTATAAGGTTCACAGTTAGTTCTTTGTTTTTTTTAATAACACCTTAGTTTCTCAAACTTTAATGCAGTCAGCCTTACCCAGATATACACTGACATTATATTT